GTGGAGATGAGTGCTTTTACACAATTAAATCATCAATTAATCATTGTTAGACCACCATTAGAAACCTGGAAGCACTGGATGGCCGTTTCGTCCTAGTATAGGACTCGTCAACAGTGCTTATCCACGTTTCTTGCTATTCGCAGGATTCAAACCCAGAGCCTTCGGTGTTGCGCGTGATCGCTTAACCAGCATCCAACGGTGTTAATTTGAAAACTAATGTCACTTGTTGATTATCATCAATTCACTTACATTAGACAATCACAAACGATTAGACAGGTTATTTTGTGCTCAGGAAATTGGTTACATTTCTAGGAAATATTTCGTGTTTCAAAAGAAGTAAATGTAAAAAAACCTTTTAGCACTATAAGTCTTCCATATAATTGATGTAGAAGAATTTCAAGTTATCTCAAGATTTATTCAATGAGTAAGGTGGATCAAATATAAATAATATATGATCCATGTAATACAAGATTTCTTCTAACGAAATATCTCACTTTCAATGAAACGTATAATACAATTGTTTTTAGAAAAGTTCTTATCTAAAATAAACTTTATCAGTCTGCCATTATTTATTTATATTTGTGTAGAATAAAAACTTTATTATCAGTATTTATTTTGACCGGTGTAAAAAAAACTATTCATTACAAGTTACAGGTGGACAGAATTAGTAATTACAATGCAGTGTGAGTCGTATATGATAAAATATACACTTTCAAAATGTTTATTAACCCTACTGTAACGGATAAAATGAACCGCAATTGTTAATTGTAGAAAAAGATCAAAAGTGATAATTATGATTTTCACTAAAAAGTGTACATACTTTTGGTGATTAAATTCAATTAACATTTTACTGGTGATTGTGTTATTTTAATGAAGTGATAATATGGTGAGAAAAAATTACTAATTTGAGAACTGATACAACGTGATTAAATAGACTCAATGCTTAAATATATACAATAGACTTTCAACGAAAACAGTCATATTTATGTAGCAAGAGACTGGAGACTGGGCGTTGTAAGATATCAGTTATCAGGAGAATATAACTTTCAATATATAATGTGTGACTGAAAATGACAAATCATCTAAGTAAAATTTCATGAGCTTGAAATAGTGAACGAGAAGCTTTTCTCACTCACGTTAGTTTAGCTGAATTGATTTAGCATAGTGGATAAGTGATCAACAGTATTGTACAAATTAATAAATCACAAAAATTTCTTTAAATAAGCGATTTATCAGCAACAATAGAATATATATAGGTTATATTATTTGTTCATATCAGAAGTGCCTTCAATCTCATACGTAAAGTGAATCGTTTTCGCAGGCTAATCTAACAATGAATGGAAGTAAATAATACGCTTAATCATGTGGTTAGACAATAATTACGACATAGTGTGAAGTGATTGACATTGATAACAAGAGGGATTAAATTAACAAAGATTCATAATAATAACTATATATACATATATTTGTGCGTGAAGAGAATTGAGGTTGTATAGAGTTGAAGTTAAAAACATATAAGTAGTGAGACAATAACTAAATGAGGTCCGGAAACAGATACGATGGGAATTATGTAGGAATGATGAAAAGTTTACAAAAGTTTCAGAGCAGTTGGCTAGAGTTAGTAATTAAAGAAAGTATTCACGAAAATAAACAAACTATGGTTCGTAATAGAAGATTTATTGTTCAATGAGACTTTAAACAGAAGAATCGGAAAAACAAAGAGATTTACATCATATCCTGCGAGATATTTCTAAGACTTTAATATAAACAGAACAAAATTCAGTAGACGGATCACATTTAGTTAACTAGTTATACATTGGTGACAATGAGTCATAAAATTCCGCTTATCAGCATAATTAGAGATTACAGTTTATTACTTCCAAATTATCTTAGTACAAGCATGGTTCACTATTTTAAACATTTTAGTTCTAACCATCAAATTATTTATAATGCAAAATTCACATGGGAAACGTTTGTGTGATAACTCTTGAACGATATTCACAGGGATGTAAGGATTGATTTGACTAAACTTCCAATCATTAGTTATTCTTAGTGAAAGAATATCGTAAAACAAGAGCAACTATCGACACAGAATAATGCATCTATTAAACAAAGCTTGTCAGCAACTTCTGGATACAAGAAAATTGTTTTTCTCCATCTCCTGCATACTGACAAACTTATTGACAAGCCTTTGTCATATTGAATGTACACAATCACTAGTTGTGGTTAAACAATATAATTTCAGTTGATCTATACGTTTGTTAATTCTATTATTATTATAAGCAAAGCAAAAACACCCACAAATAAAGTGAATTCACATTATTTTACTAAACGTGTTTCTTCTTTATTGCTATATTCAAATTCTTTAAGGGGTAGAGATATTTTTATGAAAAGCAAGATTAATTGGAATCTAAGCTGTCAGACCCAATGAGAGTAAATATGAATTCTATTTCAGTCTAGCTACACAAGATTCTACTAAATAACTTCAAGTATTATGCAATAATTCAAAAAAAAACTGGGGGGTAAACCGTCTCTCTTAGGTTTGTCTGAATAAATGTTCACATCTTCATATGAAAGTGGAAGACAATCTATAGAACTTTGATCATAGGTGCCTTCGAAGCATTACTCGTGTATCACAGAACAACGCCTCTATCTATGCTGAGATTAGGCACTGACTGCTGGGGAAAGACAATACATAATTTGATAAGACTGCAGATCGTTAAAGACTGAGATAGCTAAAACACGTGTTATGTATGTCTAGTTACTGCTGACTTCGATGCCCAGTGCTATCAGGAGTAGGGAAGAAATCTATGGATGGAGATACTATTATGCAAGATAAAGCTATGAAGTCATTGACTGTAAGTCTGATCTGTGTTGGTAGATGTAGACTACCTGGTTAGGATCTTCGTGATGACGGTCATCAGTCGTTGAAAACGTTTAATGCAAAGCCTCCGAGTCCGTTACAGTAGTTCAGATGTATTCACTGTTTTTCTTCTACTAGATCTTGGGTCTCACTACTCTTTCGTATATGATTTCTCATTTTGCCTCCATGAACCATATTATCAATACTCAGTATTTTTCACTAACACTACTTCCATGACTATTTCAACTACTTTGACATTTATCTTGCTAATTTCATTTCCCTGTTTTAATGTGGTATGACAATCATGGCTAATCCACACCTGTGTTAGGCACATTAATTACGATTGACTGACTTTTGACTTTGGCGCTATAATAAATCTGATATCTCGCAATTTAAAAATTAGAGGGTAATGGAAATGATGTCAGAACTTTAGCGAAATGAGACAGGAGACTCAGTGACACAGTATATAAGGCAATGACAATAAAATAATTATAATTTTTGATGATATTCCAATGAGTAGAAATTTATACTTCTGATATTTTGTGGCTTAATGCAGCCTACTTCTTCAGAGTAAATGAGGCTATGTTCACCATGTCCATAAAATGCATCAAAACAATTTACACAATATAGATATATTAAAAATGAATGTTGCCAACAATGACATATACTATTTATTATCCAACGTTTATCAGTGAAAACCGAGTAAATGTTTAAACTAGTACAATCATACATTAAAACCACAAATATAAAAACACCATATTTGTTGCCTTTTAAAGTATGGACAAAATATTCAGCTAAAAGTAAGTTATTCGGTTACAACAACACTACTAATCACTAGGACAAGTATAACTGTATACTACTCAATAACCAATTTATTTATTTATGACAATCAGTAATCATAATAACAACTCACAAAAAGCCAGTATAGTAACAAAAATTACCGGTGACCTCAAATTTAAATGATTATACTGTTTGGTCTCGTAAAATATTTAATTTACAATAGGTCATCACCCAAGTATTGGAAATATGACCAGACAAAAAACAAACAGACCAATAATATGTTATTGTAAATCAAATATACTCATAATCGTCAATGATAAAATCGGTCAGTTGCAACTTTGAACTTGGTATTTACACACATTAACTCGAGTTGCCACACCACAGAGAAGAAACTGTCAGGCAAAATTCCAGAGTAGTAGAGGCAGTAATAGTTTTAGTGATAAAAAAGATTAGGGATCGAAGATGGGGCTCGGGAAAATATAAACCAGTAAAGTCAGTTTAAAAAGAGAGAAAACGGTCATGAGGAAGTCAGAGAATTAGAACTTGAGAGAAGATAAAGAATGGATGTATCTGCGCGATTAAAAACGATTCTGAGTCATGTCATTCAGGGTCTCAAACCACTGGTTACGATTGCCACGTGGACTCTAACTAGGTATTCTAAACGTATTAACATGACTTAGCTTAATTGTCAATAGCTTCATGGACTGGTGCCACGTTTTGGTTTAGGCGCCCCTTGCCTTTTTTAAATCTACTCTTACACCAAACAAAATTGCACGTCGTGGTGGTCGGTGGTTTAGGATAGGTAAGATATATCCCAGTCACCCTAGTTGATGAAGACGGATTACTTCATCAATCGATTTGCCATCCTTAACTAATGCTCTATATCTAAACTAAGCATTGCTTACTCGATCATGAAAAATACACAAGCGATGCTCCAAAGACACCTTTAACCGAATACTTGTAACCTATGAATATTCTCTACTCTTAATGGAGTAAAACGGAGTAAATTGCTGAGTGGCAAACTCGTCCCTCGGTTAGCAGATGGATATATTATCCACACCATAAGCGATACAATTTGGCAAAAGCCAGTGGAGCCATCAGTACTCATGTCGGGATTTCCTCAGACACCAAATCATCAGAAGTGATGAGACATATAAGATAAATGAGACAATCGACACGCGCAATTACTTCACTCCCTATAACTAGTCCCAAGCGCCGACGGGAGAGAATCGAATTCCAAAGATGCTGAAGGTGGTCAGAAGACTTCACAAAATAGAATTATGTAATCTGTGGATTTTAAGGTAACAAGTAAATATCCTGGTAGATCAATCCCTGAGAAGTGTTCGATTCAACTTACGTGTGTAACAGCGAAGTCTGTTTTAGTTTCGGATGCAGCTGTCTGTAGTAAATTTGTCAGTAGATTACCCCGGCCACCTGGGAATACTATATCACTAGCAGCACTACAACCACCACCAACAAGACTTCCATCACCCCCACTGGTACCATGTTCATTATCATTGGGATTATGCTGTTGATTAAGATCACGTAGATTTTCTTCGGTTAAATGTTCTGTACGACGTAATGTGATTATTTGTACATTTGAAGCACAGTATACCTTAGAAAATAGAAAAATAACAACAATCATATTTAGAAAAAAACCTTAACTACTAGTTTTTTTTTACTTCTATATAGGTAGGGATTTATGATGTAATGAAATATACTCACAGAGTAGAATAACTTTTAATCCTATGATATGATCTAGACTCATCGTCATCAGGATTTATCTAACCAGCTTTAAAGTAACAAAACAATTTTGAGTTACATAAATAAGGGCTATTGTTTAGATTATTGATATGAAGACTACATATTTGTTAGGTTTTCTAAAATAATAAACTCTGTACTGACACGCTACACGCCTCTGGAACTTACCAATAATCATATGAAGTTATTACTGAATGAAACCGATGTTACAGAAGTACACCATCCAACTAAAAGATTAAAACTCAGATCTTAATCCAATGCGACGTAGACAAGCTGAGTTATTTCCATAAGAAAATGTTTACTTTCAGTCTGTGGACAAGATAACTTCAGAAATCAATGAAGAAATACCACTACACTAGCATGCTCAGTTTCAAATCTATTCATATTACAAAAGAGTTAATGCGGTGTACACGATTTTTTTCTGTCAAGTTAAATATTTACAATAATAACACACTCTGTAGCGTGTTTGTTATGCATAGACAGTTAATGTGTTCTATAAGAAAACTAATAAATTTCACAAATGTCATAATAGTTCAAAATAAATGTCTGCATTTATCACGATACGATAAGATTAATGAAATTCAGACAAAATGATTACTTTATCTACACTAATCTGTGCACATAACCTTTGCATTGTTCTCAATTATGTTTTTTATCAAACAAAAGTTGATTCATATCATGTACGATAGTCAAGTTGTTAGTAAGAGAAAAACACACGAGTAGCATAAGGTAACTTAGTTTAAACTAATACTGCTAACAATCGAAAAAGAACACTTTACAAAATGGTAAATTGTTATTTTCACCGTAGCTTTAAGATTGACTGATTTAATAGAACATTTGTAAATGTAATCGAATAACAATGCCCTTGTGTTAATATACAACCGAAAGGTTAGTTGGGTTTATTGTAATATTCTATGAAAATAATTAATTTTCACTATAAAGTTGTGAGGATTGTTGAGTTTCATTGAAATTATGACTAGCTTCGTCAGGAAATTCTTGAAGTTCACATGAAAAGTCCTGACCAGTGGAGTTCAAACTTGTCCGATGTAGGCAGTTACCTACTGAAGACAATGAGTGAGGTTGCGAAACATTTTAGGCTGACCAATGACATTAACACACTTGGATGCCGGCTCAGTGGTCTAGATGTAAAGCGTTCGCACGCAAGATTGAAGGTTCTAGGTTCCAATCCTGCGAGCAGGGGTCATGGATGCGCATTGCTGATGAGTACCATACTAGGACGAAACGGCTGTTTAGTGCCTCCAAGTTTCTAATGGTAGTTCAACGATGATGGATTTATCACTTCAATGAAAATTAATAATCTCATCTAATCCTCTTTGATCATTAAGGTTTTAATAAAACTCAATCTTTATCATTTTAATCAAAAAATCTTTAAACGTTCCTGGGGGAGTAATATCCTACCAGGCTTTCAAGAAATTGGCTTTTTTTCTGCATATTTCATGGATAGTATATGAAACTCAAGGTAGACATAAATGGAAAGCATGAATTCACTATTAGGAAATTGGGTTACATTTCCGTAAGAGTTAAAAAAACCCGTCAGCTCTAACTCTACAAATGCTGACTTTATTTTATGATAAATTCTTAGTAGACAGATAACTTATATATCTTCAATCGATAACTCTTGTTTATTGTACTAAAATTCATCGGTTACTTTTACCATACTCCCTTTACTCTAGTTGTTTTAGTAATTTAATTATGAACAATCTAAAAAAAGTGTTCGTTTTACAGTGTTACTTGAAGAAGTATATGAAATACTTATGCTTAAAGGAAAACTTTATCAGCTTTTTCTATAAAATATATTTGATAAATGTTCTAATCGAATCAACAGAACGGTTTAATACTTGATTTTAGTCCAACTTACTTGACAAGGATGATTATTAATGGTTTCTTTACGATCCGATCGCCATCCTAAAATTCCTGATTTGCTTCTATATGTGTCGCAAACAGAAAAATATGCAAATAAATACATACATTTTACTAACCAAATAAATGTTTTCATTAACGAAATACTAAAATTACAGCAGTACATAAATAAAACACTAACAGCCTATTTGGGCAGGAAGACTATAAGAGCGGGGTTTTATGGTTTTTTCTTGGCGAGTCTTGAAATACACTCAATGGACCTGTTCAGCTAATTATTAACCAGTTTCTAGAATTAGGTCACAGCTATAAACGCGGTTGGGATCCGAGCGATTTTCGTAAGCAATCGTTAGGGATTGTGGGTTAAATGGCTTAGAATAATTTGGAATGGTGTTGGTGAATTTATTTTTTCGACTTCCTTTATTTCTGTTATCTAAGTTATTTTAGTGTTTCTTTATCGCACAACCCTATGTTTTTCTGAGTCTTATCTTCTAAATTTAATTTTTCTTATCGATATTATTACTAATCCTACCACTGTGGAATTTTCCTTGATCATTTTATATCACCATGATAATGTTGTGATAACTTGAAATGAGTACATATTTGCCAGATTCTACGTATGACATAGCTGGCTGACTGACTGAAAATGATAACCTTTATTTAGAGACCCTTTCCTCATGTAAACGGTATTCCAGTGATTAAAGCACTTAGTTTTCAAATAATGAATAAGTTTAAGTCTCGGTCCACTTTCTTTGGTAACTGTTGAATATCATTCGTACTCAAAGTTGTGTGCACAAAGTTAAACGGCAACGATGGATTTTTAAAATTTATCGAATGATTCTATTTTCATAAGTTTCAAGAGATTAATCTAAAGAAAATTAGCTTCTATCTTATCAAACTATATCATTGATTACATAAGATAACCGATCAGTTTTTGAGTAGTTTGATGGTCTTATAGTATTGGTCTCAAAAAGTCATTATGAATGAGAAATGTTTTTTGGATGTAATATTAAACTCCCCGGTGAACTAATATGAATTTAAGCAATAAACCACGAATTAACAATTAATTCCATTTCGAAAAATAGTCACTTGGACATTTTTAAATAATCAATGAAAGTGTGCTCGAAGTAAAACAGGACCTAGGAAACTCACTTAAACAATTGATTTCATTAACAAATATCCTCATTTTACATCCCCTATTTATCTTTTGCAAGTTTACATCAATATAGATTAGCAAAAAGTTAGTGAAAATTTTACTTTAAATGAAATTTCAAGAAAGAGGATACTCTAAGGTAAGTTTAAATAACTAAGAGTAGTCTAATGAATTACATTATAATCGCAAACTAATAAATATCATATTTTCAACTGCATTTCTTACTAGATTCATGCTTAGCTTCTATTATAGCTGATAACTGTAACATCGTTGACTGTGTATAGAATATTTATACGAATGTTTATATGAACACACACATATAAGCAAAGCTAAGATAACTTAAATAAGTGATAGCAACAGAAACTGTTAGTCAGTTGGTAATTTTATTACCAAAAAGCAGCAAAATATTTTCTGCATAAACAAAAACGTATTTTGTATGAGCCGGAGAACTCACTTCTCAAACTCTATTTTGTCTGTATCCAAATACGTGACGAAAATAGGTTGAGTCAATTTGCTTGCAATAGTACTTTCCGAAGGTTCACGTACAAAGAGTTGGGCAGCAGCAGTAGCTGCGGCACCGGCACCACTTCCAGCACTTGGTGCACCATCTATTCCATCAGATCGACTCGGTAAATTTACGTTGTGTCGATAAATAGTTCGATCAGTATGATTTACCTCATCCATATATGCTCCAGATTCTATATTAGGATGAAAAAAGTAACATGACAGTATATCTTCTTGAATGTGTACACTAAGGTTTATTTTACGAGACATTGATCAATACATTTGTAAAGCTAAAAAAACTCCTTATATCATTTAAGCTCAAACACGACTATAGATGTTTTTTAACACCCGACAAATATCTACCCTAACAATAATGTATTTGAATAAAATTTCCTCTCCCAGCCGATGTTTTTTTCAGAAGCGAATGTGAAGAAAATTCAATCGAGATAATTTGTGTGACGAGTGAATATGATTGACATCTTAATATATGCCAACTTTCTGGTCATCATTTCATTGACGAATAATAAGTGATCAATTTTGTTAATCAATTTTTAATGGTTTCTTTCCATAATACAATACTGTTAACAGCAAAGTTAATAATGAGGAAGTTAAAATAGATAATATCCTTCACAGGTTTTAAACACATTGTAGATATACTCTTTTACTAACTATCCACAAATATAAAACGTAGAGTTGCTTTATATGCAAGCAGAGAGATAGGTTTAACTGGTCACAAAGTTGAATACTTGACATAGAAAACAGCTACATTGATAGAGTGAATGATATTTACCAATTTACGATACTTATTACAAGTAACAAGTGATATATTGAAATAACTGATATTATACCTCCAGCTCTAAACATATAGCTCAGATGACCACGGACCCATGATGCTGACCCATTAAATCCAAGTAGATTTGTATCGATTCTAACATTTGATCCACATTTCCATACACGACAAACATCACTTGGACACATACGCGATACAAGAGGTACTAAAACAAATTTAGAAAGTAAATCACTTTGAGACTTTAAGCAGAATTCAAAACAATTACCTCAAAAAATTTACGTTTATTAAAATATAATTCATACAATTTGAAGGAAAAAAGAACTGATAAAGTCTTTTAAAGACCTTCTGAATAAATAAAATATGCAAATCTTCCATCAACTGATTATGATTCAGTTAATAATAAACATTATTTATAATGTAACTACATTCACTAAGTGCAGCCTCATGAATTGGGCTCCGAAAAACACATTTTGTAGAAGCTGACGACTCTGATTTGTCATAAAATGAAGTAGATGAAGAGAAATTTGAACGACGAAAAGTAGAGTCTTGATCACCAAGTCATTTGACAATGAGTTTGGACATCAACGGACAACAATTGTATTCACTGCGAAAAAACGACAGCAAAACAATAAAAAACAGGCTTCTACGATAGACTGTCGGTTATATCCCTAGTATAAAATTGGCTCATCGAAGTAGATTTAAATACATGGTTAACTTTCACCACAGGATAATAGTATGCCAAAATGAAAAATTAGTACTGATTCTGATTGTTATTTGCTAGATTAGTAGAAGCAACATTTATAAGGATAGTCACACTTCAGTTTGATCATATGGTCATAATTTCCAGTAGTTTACTCGTAAGAATACATGGTCACAAGTGGAAAATAGTCTATCAACACATTCTCAATATTACAAATAGATATTACTAAAACGGGAAACTTAATTAAATTGCATTCTAAAAAAATAGTTTCCATAGAAATATTACGATTTAACCAGAACTATAAAGGTTTGCTACTTAAACATGTTATTTATAAGGAGCTACATATTCGTACATTGCAAAAGTACGTCAACGACTTCACCAAAACTTATAACAATCAAAATACATTCATAACTTACGCCAACTAGTGAACTCCCATTTCATCTCAATATAAAAGTCAGGGGTTTCTCTGAGCTTCTGCAGCAAATCCGCAACTATAGCAGCCTGGTGACGAACAATCTGAGCGTCTCTATGAACCAAAATTAATTTGACAAGTTCAGGATCCCCTGTTGCAATAGCCTCCTGTGCAGCTAAATTTTTATCAATGTAACTACGAAACAAATACCTGTCCAGAATTTACTTGTAGAAACGCAAGCGTTTGCACCATGACGAAGTAAAACTCGTGCAGACTCCAAATGGTCAAGTACAATGCATAACATTAACGGGGTTCGCCCATGAGGATCCAGTTTTTCTATATCATGCTAGAAGAAATTCATTTAGTTTAAAATAAACATATTTGTACTTTCTTTTGGTGAAGCAGTTCATCCAAAGCCATATAGTCATTATTCCAAGCATGATAATGTAGGGGATATAGTACTTTTGGATCATCTGTGGTCATTGTACGTTGCACTAGTTGACTAAACAAAAGGAAAAACCATAAAAATGTTTACGATTGTAATAGAGTTTTTCTATACAGATTACTGCATTTTAAACCCATACGACAACTTATTAATTTTATCTACTGTGCATAGATAACTTTTCTGATTGTAGCAGGTGAATGAACAAGAGCGTTTGATTGTTCAGAAAAATGATTAAGTCTGCAACTGTCTATTAACATACATCTAAATAATATTACGATGACACAGATAAAATACATATTTCGCCTATGATTTCCATCCCATTCGTTATGTGTACAATAATACCTGATATCGAAAGTCTGATTATGCAGATATGCATGAAGATAGAATGTAATCAGGAATAATTAAATTTAACAACTCTATAAAAGAGCCTATTTTGTTCCAAAATCGAGCTTACGCCATTTATGGCGTAGGCCAGATATCCGCTCGCAAACAAAAGGACGGGTGTACTGCGCAGCAGTTCGCTCCGTTCTCCTATATGGATGCGAAACATGGCCGTTAAGAGTAGATGTTCGTCGGTTACTAGTATTCGATCATAGATGTCTCAGGAGCATTGCTCGTACATTGTGGGACAACCGAGTAAGAAACGCTGCCACTAGGAAGCTAGTACCAGGTAAGGATGGCAGATCAACTGATGAAGTATCGAAACGTCATCAGTTGACGTGGTCGGGACATGTGTTACGAATGCCTAACCACCGACTGCCTCGATGAGCTGTTTTGTGGTGTACGAGTAGGTTGGAAGAATGCTAGGTGCGGACAAACCAAAACATGGTATAAATCCATGAAATCACTAACAAGTGGACTGAGTCATGTTGGCAGACGTAGGCTACCTGGTTGGGGTCTGCCAGAAGAAAGTCACCGATGGTTAAAGACTCTGAATGACATGGCTTAAAATCGTTTGCAATGTCGCAAGTGCATCCATGCTTTATGTTCTCTGGAGTTTTAACCTTCTGGATTCGTCAACACCACTACCTTTGTCTTTCTAAACTTATCTTACTGAATTATACTTCCTGAACATTATCTTCAAATCCTAATCTTCTCCATTAGCAGTAATTCTTCTACTATCTCTACCACTATGGGATTTGAATTGACAATTGCGTCTCTGTGCTGATGGGGCATGGCAACCTGAACTTATGTACATACGTACGAAGTTCTACGTTGTAACTGACTGATTTATTAGACACTAGAGGTGGCGGTGTTCATACAAAATTAATTTTTGTGGAATCACTAGCCTATGGCTAGAGATAGTAGACTGGAGAATAGTTGTGTGGAATTAGTATGTAATGGCAGATCATGACTCTATGGACGGAATGCTAGAGGTAACTTAGTGGCTTGAATAGCTATCAAATGCACATTACAATCACATCCCGCGATGTCGTTGTACATCCATTTGATATTTCTTCTGAAAAAAAATAGATGGGCCTTTTTTAAAAAGGAATCTGCACACATTACTTTCATCGGACTGTACTTCTTTCGATTGTATGAAATCCAACTTTCATCCTTTTACAATCTCTGCGCAGTACATTTAATTCCATACTGTGAGGTTTTTTCGTGCTTTAAAGACGACTAATAAATATTGGTGGGATGTGAATCTATGGCTTGAGATCAAATACTAAGGTTGTTTAAATATTGATTTACGAATAAACATCAGATATTATGCTCTGAGCATAATTAATAAGTTGACGAAAATATACGAAAATTAGGGCTTGAAAGTGATAAAGTGGTCGGTAATTACCAAGTATTTATTGGATAAATAATACTATTGGACGCATTAGCTAAGAATATACGTGACCTAGAAGTTACGAACTTAGACATTATTAAACTTCGTCAAATATTTAAGAACGGAACTCTTACATTAAACATTGCTCGACTTTTATACATGAGGTTCATAAGGAATACATTACCAACAACGTCATGCAGCTGACAAATAATGCCGATTATCAGATTAGCTCACTATATGCACCTCAAAGCTCTCATTTAAGAATAGCTGAAATACGCACTTCAAAATATATGTATACTACATGACAGTAGAATTTTATGATGAATTTCAGTGTTGTTCAGTGTTTTAATTGTGATTATTTTTACCAGGGTTTGTTTGAGGCATCCATTGTGGATTATGCTCTCATATTAAGACGTGACTAAATTACGGGTTTCAATAAGAAACTTTATTCTACAATAAACTTATTTTTAATCCGCTAATTGCTTGGTGGAGTTTATAGCACCTTATAACTGATTTACGTTAATGATACCAAGTATTTTTGGTTATAAGAGTTCTTCCCTGGCTACCATCATAAACAAAAATAGTTGAATATCATCGTTAATAACTATTGATAAACAGAGCCGTGAGGAGATTATCGAGTTACCAGGATCGGCTGAAAAGCGTTATTAATATGCAGTTCACTTACAGGCGGATCAAGGCAAATGGTACTAAGAGAAAAAATTTAGTGTGGGCCTGTTTGAAGTGATTCGATGCACGTCTTCTAAATCCTGCTAAACAGCAGTACTGATAGTTTCAAGATATCTGACTAACGTTGAGTAGGTTAGATGATTTCCCGGTTGAAACTGTGATCAGAATTGAAAAATCTTATTGAAATCATGAGCACAAAAAGTGGAGAACAAGTAGACCAAGAATTCGGGCTCATGATTTAATCGAATTACAGATCAAACACGTGTTGGTCATATATGTTTACTGAGAGCTAGCTTCGTCTCGTTTCGCCTTAAAATGCAAGTCTTGTACGCACACTACACAGGCATTCCCACACACTAATTATTTTGAACTAAAAAATAGTAGGTAATAAACGAATACTTCGCAAGTCTATAGTTATCCAACTCTAAAATATTAGATTGCTTGGGTTTGGAAATCACCGGTTCATGTCAAATAAAAAGCACTGAATAATCGAAATTATTATTACAAGTGATGCACAAAAATATACATTTTGAAAACTCATCGGTTAAAAAAACATCACATCACACCTGCTATGAAGCTTTTTGAAAATCGGGAAATTAGGAGAATGATGAAATAGATTCAGTTAAACACAAACTTGAATAAGGTACACACAGAAAAATATTTCTCATATAATTATTTGAAATCCTATTATTTAATCAACTCTCTAAAAATGTGACGACGACAAACACCTGAAACCCTACTAAAGTGAAATGCGAATTCGAACCATCAGTAGGTCTATGCAAATTGAGAATACATTTATGGGATATCGAAACTACCTCCATTGCACTGCACATTTGAGCTGAATATAATTTTTACACTTGTCATTGATTTTTTTTCTGAAGTCACGTTAAAGCTGCTGGAGAATTCCTTAAACACAAACCTCTCCCAATACTGTTTCTGAGATGAGTATAGTTTAGTACAGATGTAAATAATCTTCTTTCTCCCACCTAATAATGTGTTCACCAGATATAAATCTTCATCAGCGATAGAAAAAGTTTGAGTAATCGGTTTCAGTGTTCCCTACCTATGCAACCAAAATATCTGTTGGAATCAAAGCTACAAACCAATGGGAACATTTAATTACAGACGATGCATTTTAGAAGCATGTTTACTCACAATATATGTAGCTACCTGATATTCGACGAGCAGCTTTATATGAGAGCGTATTTTTACTGTCAGAGTCATAAGTCTCTAGTGAGCTCGATATTCATAAAAGATGAAAACAGAAGTTCATTGTAATAAAACCAGTGACTGAATCGCAAGTTTTTGTCCGTAATAACGATGTCTTATAACACAAGTGTGTACTGTAATGATAGAGGTCAATCATAATCTTATTATACCAGATATTTGAGAAGAAACTGAAATATACAGATGATTATTAGAAATACAGTCAATTATTAATAAATACGAACTGAGACTTTGAAAGAAGTAGGAATATATTATCATCAATTTTCATTTATGAAAAAAATGAAAACAGAAGGACCAAAGAACACTCTATAGAGATTCGTACGATATACTTCTTCGCGGGAGGACAAATGTTAATCCACGAAATCGGAGAATCAAGTAACAAATAGATCCCAGAGGAAGAAGTATATTTGATACTGTCCTCGTGATATCGAAATGATATAGAGGCAAGAGGGCCTACAAATAGCTAAGGTCCACGCAGGAGACGTGCGAAGAGGCGAATGAGAATAACACCCTTGGTGCGCGAGAGATAGTCTTTAGTTCAGATAATGAAGAGAAGTACAATATAAAAATTATTGTCAGAATTAAGTACAATAATAAATGTTTGTATTTCGGCAGTTGTGTTTTCTTCGTAATAGTAAATCACTATAACTTCATGCCGTGAATCGGAAGTAGAAATGAGAAGAATAAGCAGAAATCAGGTAGAACCGTAAAGGATGGTCGAAAGAAAGTTGGAGATTGTCAGTCGACTGCCTAAGCTTCATGAAGGGTAATAGGTTTAAATGACAGAGTAATGGCCAACAAAACGGAATATAACTAAGTAACCTTTTACCTATCTTCATACAGGTATATCGCATTATTGAAGACCTAATGTTTTCTGAGACATGATAATTCATTCTGTACAATCCTGCAATTCATGTGGCTTTTATCACAGCAACAACCCTTCCCTAAATACGAAGAAATATATTTTTATAGCGATTTCGTGGCATCGAGAGAATACCGAAATCATGACTGAGAAAATGGAAGAAGTTACATAGCATCAAAAGCAAGATGGCAACCAAGCGAATGGTAAGTATGCGTACAGAAGTAAGAATAAACAAGACGTTCAGCAAAACAATCGCTGGTAAAACCGGTTATAATAATGAGTGTTTTTATCTAACCATTCAGATTTTCTTCGTAAAAGCGGAGTCACTATACCATGGGGATCCACTAGACTATACACAAGTTAAAATAGACTTCTAATAATTAGTTGGGCAGGGCTTAATGCCCAAGGATAAGCATATACATACAGCTGTCAATGCAGTGTCTACTTTGTTTGCATCAGTCTTCCCCCGGTACTGTGACAAATTGTGATCTACCTCTTTTTACACTGACAAACTATAAACGTGAACCGCTTTTTAAGGAAACGCAGTTCCGAAGCACATTCTTTGAGATGGAGACGAATCGCTTGGCGGTTTGTAAAGTACTGGAACAAAATGGATTTACAGTCTGACTTATGAAAGTATATTTTTCGATTTACGGTTGTTCTGGCTCTAGCTCACCCCGAGATTTAGAAGAAAAACATCCTAACGAGGCAATTTTACTTGAATGATCGCTCAATAGTTCTGGGTGTTCGTTCAACTAGGAAACCCAAGATCTTATGTTTTCGTGCCACCAGTTCCTAATGACCGAAATACTCAATCACACACTAACAAGTTAAAGTATTAATCAAAACTTTTCTACAGTAATTAGTCTCAATCAATCCATATCTTGCGTCATTTCCCGTTGGATAATCATCACTTCATTTGCTTTGGATTTTTTTCTCTTTAAGCCTATTATATTTATTTCCATGACACCTATTTTCAACGTTCTCGATGAGCTTTGGAAAACGACTACGCAGTGAGTGCTTATACCCTTGATCATGTTTCGCTGAAGCAAACGAACTTGACTCTGGTATCATCACCATTTTTGTACAGCTGGTATAAGTCGATCGATATTTTTGCAGACGATCACAACTATTTTCTAGGTGCCACTGAAGATAGCCAGACCGCTTAGCGCAGTGAACTGAGTAATTATTTGAAAGAATTTGGAAAGTGAAGTCAGGTTAGCGCGTATTTCCTTTTTCGGTGGAGGAAAATTGTTAAGGACCGGAATGAAATCGGTTTTAAATAATGACATGGATACGTAGAAATACGAGAATGGATATAATAATATTTCAAATAAAAAAACGACTTGGAATAAGATGAGCACAAATAATATCGCTGAACAAGTTCATAGCAAGATGGAAAGTACTAAATTCTTCGTTCAGGCACATATTTATTTTTGGTTTTGGATTAAAGATTACTCTTGTACGTGTAATAATTTGATGCATATCTTCAAAATTTTCAAATATAGCGCGTTTATGACACTTGTTCCGGTAGGACATTACAAATCAATATGGTGAATCTCTTAGCAAGACCAAGTAACGGCGTGGGAATAAAATGTCCAGTTAGAGAAAGATTTTGAATTTTACAAACAGAAAGAGTGTCATTTTGAAAACTGCCAATAGTTTGTTTAAATTAACTACCTGTAACTGAAAGGACACTGAAAATCCGTTCACTGTGTTTTATTTACTAGTGTTATCATACCTTTGCTTTGAAAATGCTTTGTATTTAACTTTAACTCAGGACTTCTGGAATTATCTTTTATGTTTCTCGGTCATTAGTATTCGATTTTAGTCACTGTTTACTCTGGTTATCCTAATTTTACGGCTACTTCTCGCCGAACCACGGTTCACTATAAACGCATTGTATGCCATACATAAAATCATTGTTTGGTCTTACTGAATAAACTTTGGTTTAATAACTCTATGGTTATAACAAGCACTTGAAATTCGGTCGTTACACTACCCGTTCTTTCTTCAATTGTCAATATATATGTTACCCGGCGCTCAGATTCCACACTATGCAGAAGTAGATATCCATTTTTAGTGGTGTAATTATGGATACTGAGCATATATTAGTTCAGTTAATGTAGTCAGATATTGTAAATAACTTCTATTACTCTGCAGTGGTTATTATTGATCTACAGTTAATAGGATGTTTTACAAAGCCATTTTTCAAATGTCTTTATTGTGATGCGTAATCCGAACTGGCAAAATCAATATATTATTCTATGCTGTCATCCTTTTTGTGGTAATGTCAGATGGACTTTAGTTAATCGGTAAGGGTTGTGTAAGAATCTGTTACTGACTTGATGTTGTCTACCCACCGTCGAAGTACGGCAAGCATCAAGCACTTTAAAGATGTCAAGGAATATAATGTGTAGGATGCTTATCGTGAAGTCCTCAATCATGATTCGCTGCGCATATGAAGCTAAGTTATGTTTGGTGAGGTGTTTGCAACAGAAATACGATGTATGTCTGGAGCAAACTGCAAGATGTGGTTCAGCTGCCAAGTGAATTCTTAATTGGAGATGAGTCTATTGAATAGTGAGCAATTCACCGCACATCACAATTAATAGACCGAAAAAATGCCACCTCTATGCTGTGTCTTGCAGACATCTTCAGAGGAATAATGAGGATTGTCTAATTTTGTTTAAATATCGTTGCAGAACTCCTCCGATTACTGAGTCAGATTCGTCTACAGCAATACTGAAGACTGCCTTGCTGTTACATGTCATTATAATTGACTTAGTATTACTGCCTTTAACTGTGGTAAATGCTTCCCTATAACAATCACCTAAGTTGATGATTTTCTCGCTTCTACAAAATTGGTTTCGTTAGAGACGTGCAACTCTGTAAGACATGCAAAAATCTGTATAGTCAGAAGTGAGTGATCATAAAGGCTTTAGTAATCTTTACAAGAGCCATAGGGATTTGGTTATCTGTTTTATTTATGTAGCTTTTGAAAAGGCAGTCGTCCTATTTACTAGAACTCTTCTTATTGATTATTTAACTTATCTTTTTAAATATCTTCAGCGTTTCGATAACATGAATATGTAGAAATCAAGCATCGATTTTCGAAAATATGTTGGATATGCTAGATGGTAGTGGAAAATCCCAAAGTAACGTGTTTCCAGACTATGTCCGGAAATTCACTTAAAATCATAGATTTTTTTGTATGATTTTCTCTCTTTCCCACATGCAGAATAAACTGTCTGGCTCAACCTATCTCCATTTGTATGGTGGGTTATTTGCTTGTAACTGAATGTTTGAAGAATAGAAATCCAGCTACATTTCACAGTGGACTTTGTCAATATAACTGCTGTGTAATTCGGGTTAACCAAAGTATCTACCTTAAGTTAAATAAAAGAATAATAATGTATTTCAGTTAAAATTATATGTGCTACCACAACAGTGCACCGAATGCTAGTCTCATATTCAAAAACAGAAAAATCCATCACAGTGCTTTTAGGCCATTGAAATATAATATGATTAGTTCAAATTATGAATAAAAAAACTTCATCTATATGCACAGAAATTTTTCAAAAACCAAAATTATGATATAGAGTATGTATTGTAATGTTCCCAGTTTCGAGCAATTTACAAAGTTTCGTAAAAAAATTTTATGTCTGTAACGCGTAATAATTTCAGGCTATATTCCCACAGGCATTAGAACAAAAAGAACACAATATCGATAAATACAGGCTCCTTATATTTAAGAAATATGTACAATACGTTAAATGGGATATTCGTTGTTAACATACAAACCTCAGTTCGTTAATATCCCAATGTCGAAAACTATGTATTTACATAAAGTACTCACTTCATTGTATTAAAAAGAATTATTCGTATTAAAATGATATCATGGGTTCATAAGGACTTTTATAAGCTTCATGTTAAATTTTGGCATCAGTTATAGGTAATGATAATATTGAACTTCTTTGAGAACTTAAGGTAGATTTTATAAACAAAAGTCACATACTTCAACTTATAGAGGAAGAAAATGATCAAAAAAGCTAAAGAATAGAGTGTTGAAGCTGTAATCCATTAGGAATTCGTGTTTTTCGGTCATTGGTAGAATCATAGACAATCAATTTCTAGCTGATGCAAATGATAATTATTTAAGATTTGGGGTGATTAGATATTAGCAGAAAGAAAGAATAAAATTAGCAGTTGCTTTATATAATCATCGCTTCTTTTACAGGTAATGATCTTGATAAATTGAGCTCAGTCAAACAAATCATGTGATGTCCTAAAAAAAGGTAAGTCCTGTGCAAGTCTGGGGAGACTTTAGTGTGTAAGAATACTATTCATCTTGCTCAGATAACTATTTTTGTGTCACTGTAAATCTGCATGAGTTATGAAATAACAATTTCCATCAACTTTGTGACTAACAGCAGATTATGAGGACTTAGGAGAGCTACAGACAGACAGACAGGTACAACGCAGAACTTCGTACATAAGTACATCAGTTCACGTTGCTATACCACGTCAGCACAGAGACGTAACTGTCAGTTCAAATCCAAGAGTGATAGCGATAGTAGAATTATTAGCAGCAATGTAGAAGATTAGGGAGCGAAGATATGATTCCAAAAGTATAATTCAATACGATAAATTTAGAAGGAGAAAGGTAGAGATTATGAGGAATTCAGAAGGTTAGAATTAAAAGCACACTAAGAGTGGATGCACCTGCGCCATTGCAAACGATTCTGAGCCATGTCGATCAAGGTCTCTAACCATTGGTGACTTTCGTCTCGCGGACCCTAACCAGGTAGTCTACATCTACCAACATGACACAGTCCACTTGTCAGTGACTTCATGAACTTCCGCCATGTTTTGGTTTGGTCGCACCTAGCTTTCATCCAAACTACTCCTATACCACAAAACATAGCTCGTCGAGGCAGTCGGTGGTTAGGCATTCGTAACACATGTCCCGATTACGTCAACTGATGAAGTTTCAATGCTTCATCTATTGATTTGCCGTTCCTACCTCGAACTCGTTTCCTAACGACAGCATTGTTTATACGGTTGTCCCATGATATACGAGCAATGCTTCTGAGACATCGATGATCGAAGACTAATAACCTACGAACGTCCTCTACTCTTAACGGCCATGTTTCGCATCCGTACAGTAGGACGGAGCGAACTACTGCGCAGTACACTCATCCTTAGGTTTGCTAGCGGACATCTCGCCTACGTCATAAGTGACGCAGGTTGGCAAAAGCCAGTCGAGCCTTCTGTATCCGAGCTGAGATTTCGTCAGTCACCAGGCCATCGGCACTGATGAGACTTCCCAGATAAGTGAAGCGGTATACACGTTCGACTACTTCACTCCCTATCACTAGTTCAGGTGCCGATGAAACCCAGTCTTGAAGCAACATTTTGCATTTCGAGGGGGAGAACCGCATCCCGAACATGCTTGCATTGTTGCTTATGGTAGTCAGAAGTCTCAGCATTTTGTCAGCGTCTTCACCAAGTAGGACAATGTCATCAGCATATTCTAAGTCCATAAGCGAGCCTCCTGGTAATAGGTCTACTCCTGAAAATTCAGACGAGGATAAGGTTATTTCTAGGAGCATGTCTATGATAAAATTAAACAAGAATGTGGAGAGTGGACATCCTTGACGGACACCACTTGAGGTAAAGAATTCCGGTGACAGTTCGTCATAAGGTCTCACTCGACCTTTTGTGTTCGATTAGTATAGCCTGTATAAGGTTAATGTACTTCTTTGGTACACCTTTCAATGACAGACACTGCCACAGAACCTCACGATCCATTGAGTCAAATGCCGCTTTTAGGTCCAAGAACACAACTATTGTAGGACGCCTAAATGTGTGTATGTTCCAGGACCTGTCGTAGTGTGAAGATGTGGTCTATACAACCACGTCCAGGTCGAAAACCAGACTGGTGTTCTCTAGTCTGCTCTTCACGAGCACTAGTAAGGCGTCTAAGTATAATGGAGGCTAACAATTTAGAAACTATATTAGTTAGACTTATTCCCCTGTGATTGTCACAAGTAGACTTTTGTCCTTTCTTATAGATTGGGACAATCAGTGGTTGAGACCAGTCGGATGGGATTATGTCCAGTTCCCACATTCTACCTAAGATCTCAGTTAACCTAGCTGCTAAAACTGGACCACCATCCATAAATATGTCAGGGGCCAGTCTCTCAGGACCTGCAGCTTACAGAGCTACAGAAGTTCATTCTTCAGTAGGAATTATTTAATTTACATAATCAGTACATATATTGAGCTTAAGAAAGTTATAGCACCACATTTATTTGCTTATCAGTCGGAAACCGGTTCACACTAATTACTATAAAATTAAAAACAAGGTAAGTAATATTAATATACTTATTTCCATTGACAGATAGAGTACGCTTGAGGTACATGATTTTTCGACTTGATATACATCATATGTTTCGTTAAAAGCAATCATTCATTCTCATTTCTAATATTTGTTACTTCAGAAAAGAAATATAGTTGAATTTGCACAAACGTTTGGCTCTGAGTCGTAAATTTTGATTGTAATACATAACATACAATAACTCAAACGAAATGAAAATCTAGTTAACAATCAGACAGAAAAAACAGAATGATAATCCTCGGATGCTTGTTTAAGCTATCATATTATTCATACACCTCCTTAACCTCAAAGATTGCATTGATATTAGTTAATGAGTTTTCTAGAAAAAATAATTTTAGGTAACTAAAAGAATAATCAACCAGTCGTTTAGTTTATTCGTCATTTTCTAATCAGGGATAAAGAAAAAACTATTCATCTAAGCATCTATTATAAGGAAAATCTGCCAACTGAACTCAAAAATTGGCGACTAAGATGACGTCGCTACATGATTTATAGTTAAATCTATCAAAAAGGTTTGATAAGTGATTCGAAAATAATTAGAAACTAATTTAAGAAAGTGTCTTAGTGTTTTTTAAGTTCCATCTTTTGAATTTTTCTTTATACAAATGCAGTATAGTTGTCAAAACATTTCACGTCAATAAATTCATTCTATTTGTCAAGTAACTTTCATTCATAAAATACCATGAAAATATAGTCAAGATATTTGTAGTCAGTATTCCACTAGTTACGTTTTCAAACATAAACCAATTTGAGATATTGAGCATTCATCAACATAGTTGTTCAGTGCTCTTAAGTTTCCAACTATGCTTCGTGTTTTCACAGATATGACAGCTGAGCATAAACCTGAATCTAATAACTCTACGTGAATTCATATCATTTTTCTGATCATTATATTTTAATTTCATCGTAAGAATCAAACAAAAAAAATCTAATGAATACAAAAGTATGGTGAAGATTGACCGAACCTTTACTTCATTCATTTATTGATGACTTCGCTTGTCATTTTTGTCAAGATTTTTTTATTAATAAACGTTACAGTAACAACATTTGTATTATAATAAAATAAATCATTCAATAATACTCAAAAACTAACTTAAAATAATAATTGTTCATTATATGCATGTGAATTTTAAAGTCATATTCATACTGTTCTCATCATCTTCCCCTAAGTGAAAGATGTAAATCACAATGTTGGCTACATTCTGTTTTTTATTTAACATTGAAATTAACAAATTTAGCAGTTGAAAATCATTGAATACTAATAATCGTAGTAGTAAATTTATGATTTCAATTTTTTGTAATGAATTACTGCATCAACCACATTTAATCCTAATTCAACTAATTCAACAATACATACAAAAGTTAATCCAATCCAAATACTTAATAGACCACCAATTTGACTAAATAAAGATGTTAATGATACAACAGCTTTTTCTTCAACACGTTCTAAATCAAAATTTGGTCGTGATATTATAATAGAAAGAAAATTTTGTTCAAATATTTGTGTTTGCATAAGCATTTTTATAGCTTCTTGTAAACGACCTTCTTTAGTTAAATTAGCAATTATTTCATATGGTTGTAATGGTGCACGTATCTCTTCCATACGTTCATTGAATGCAGTTAATGTTTCATTATTTGTTGAATTCAAATGTGAATAACCGGTTGCTTCCATTTCTTTAATAAACTATGATAAGAAATTCAATAAAATGTATTTAGCGTTAATCAATATTATAAAAAAAACATGTATGGATTTTGAAGTTCAAAAGAAAAAAAACATAATATAATTAGCACCTTAATTAATAACTGATCTGCGTTTAAAGCCACTTGATAGTTGTCTGTTTATTAAGATTAACAATTAAAAAGCATATTTAGCTCATGTTGAACATCCTTTAAATTAGTAAGTACTTTATTTCAACAAACGATCTATCGATTGGCCATTTAACAATGATTCATATAAAGTTTTATGAGTACAAACAGTCAAGACAACTGAAGAATAAAATGATCTCCTTGAGTATTCTTAGTTAGCCTTAGTTTTATGATTTCCTATAATTATGTTTTTTAATAAAAACTTATATGATATCCCAAAACTGGACCTTAAATTCAAGTATTAATTTAATTTTCATCATAGAGTTATGGAGACTGTTGTTTTTGATTGAAACCATGAATCAATCATTCTAAGAACACCATCAGAAACCTGGAAGCACAGGACGACCGTTTCGTCCTATTACAGGGTTTTTCAGCAGTGAGTGACGTACAAACTGATTTCTCCTAATCAATCATGTCGTTTGGTTGTGTTATTACTTATGTTAATATTTTGTGCATAAATATATCACTGTAATGAAGGATAATACTTATTCTTTTGGCTATGGACTTGTCTCTATCGATCAGCGCCATGTTCTTCTGTTTCGTTGATGGTAAACTGCGTTCATAGAATTATTAGAACTATAGCCATTAACATACATGAAAGACTACTTTATACTTCTCAATACTCGCTTCACACTCGATTAAATTAAAAATGTTTCTATTTGAGTCATTTTAATCTTTTTTCCTGATCTTTGATTTTTTCACCACTTGATTGTTTCCGGTATCATTTCACTAATTTTTCTCTAATATTATCATTTGTTATCAATAATGCAAAATAACATTTATTCTAATTGGCTTATCTCGTCCAAAATATCTATTATTCTTAGCTTGTTAGCTTTACGTCCTGTCTTTATTTACGTACATCCTGTAGATGAAGCATAATCCTAATTATCTATAATATTAGATTACTGAGTAGAAGAAACTATAATTACATTATACTGATTATTCAATGGTCACGTTTCCGCATAAAATTACTTCCCTTATTTAAACATATATACATATAAATTGATTAGTGGTAAGATCGGCTGAATAAATTTCTGAATTTTGATACCTAAATAATACTTACTTCATTTAAAACATAAATAACTCATATATTTTCTTTACAAGTTTAATTTATTACGAAGTTCAAACCATAAACAATGTAAATTAATATTTAGTGAAGGGTAATAGATTTAATTCTGTATTACGATTTTAGAAGATACGGTAATTTATATCATTATAGATACATTGTAATTTTAAGGAATTGTAAATACTGCGGTTTTGTTTTAGAACTACTTTGCACTCATCTAAGTTAGTTTAAACTCAAACAAACGCACTAGATAATTGATATTAGAATAGGCTTATTGAAGTAAAACTGAATGTTATGTACATATTTGGTTAAAGGTAGAAATCCAACTAGTCTAAACGAGTACAATCAATAGATAATATTCCCTAATATATATATATTTTTACTGACAATGGTAAGTGGAGTATGGATTTATAAAGCGGATACATTTTCATTATAATTTAATTAATGACAATAAAAGTAACGCATTGATTATTTGAAACTCACTTTTGTAACAAACCATGTTAAAAATGTTTTAGTTGGCCATTGAGCAGCCGTTATACTCGGCTTGTATGTGTATCGAACACAGGCTGGTCTACAGCCTATTTGATAACTATCCATAGCTGTTCCGGTTTTTTCTGCACATTCTGCGAATCGAGCATACGTAGAAACTGCTTCATCATTAAAATATAACTGTTTAGATTGATTAAAATTGTCTAACATTTGATAAGTTGCTGGCAGTTTGAATGCTTGACATTTTCTCAAATCTTTTCCAAGCAGATGTGTTGGGATTGGTAAATGTTGTGTTAAACATTGACAGTTTGAAGCAACTTTCTCTTGCACCATATGTGAATGACATGCTTCCTCACTAAAAGTATAATTTACATTATTAAATGAAATAAACTGTGGTGTATTTTTACTGCATCTACCATGAGGTGGTTCCATCATAGACCATTCATATACAGTAAACCGTATATCAGTCATCGTTCCTGGCATTAGATTTACACCTTCTTCAGCTACACGAGGATAGGAAGCACCAGGGTGTAAAAGCAGTCTTGCTCCAGTTAACTGACTAGCCATCACTCTTTCCTAATATTTCAGAAGAAAAGAAATATTCAAACAAATTTTATTGAAAAGTAGTTTTTCTCGATAGCCAATATTTTAGTCAATATTGAAATGCAGTGAAGAGTTGAGAATAACTTCATTCTAGTTAAGAACTATTTCGTTGTACCGAACTAGTAAAATTCGAATTAAAGGACAGATAGTTTAGAATGTATTCAAAGATTTGAAATTCACCTTTTTAAATGTATGCAGTCTTTTTTGTTCAATTTCTCTTGAATTAGATTTTCAAATGGAATAAAATATTAACTAATAAATCTTTATTGTCCTTGAGCAGGTGGCATTCCATATGAATGGTGCTATTTAATTATTCCGCATAAGTGGCTTGATTTTAAAGTGTCAGCCTATTTTAGAATTTTAAAAAACAAACCCTCAAATGAAAACAAATAGGTCGTTTGTGATGCAGCTAAAGTTAAACATCTTAACTTATTCAAAGTGATCAATAAACAGTCCTATTCTATCATAATTGTAAAGTGACAAATTACTGAAAATGAGTCGAATTCTTGTTAATTACATATGATTATTTTTATGCTATAATATTAGAATGAAAAAATTATGTTGGAACTCAATGGAAGTGTAGCGTAAGCTGTTTACCAGATTTGATGCGTCTGTTTTCAGTCTTTTATTTGTTTTTATCTAAGCATTTAACCATAATGAAACGACTGTTCTTTTCTTAGCAAAGATGTCAAAGCAACTGATCAGTTGCAGTCCTAAACATTGATGGAAAAATTCAATCAAACAATACAACTGAATTATTTGTTCTTTTTATTCTGATTTGTCATAGTTCGTCATCTGCAGTAATTAAAATTCAAGTCATTTCATAATATTCAGACGAATAAAATCATCGGCAGTACTCAAACTTTCTATAACTTTTTATGAGCTTCTGTTTGTTAGATCAGTCAATTATATTCTACTACTTCGTAGAAACGGTTGTGAAAATTCCAAGACTTAGTAAAATGAATACAATATTCTCTTAAACACGTTAACTTAAAAAAAAACTCAATAATTGTTTACAGATAAGTTTTATTAATATGATCTAGATACTTTTGAATAAATCCAAGACATTTATGTGGCGAATAAATTGAAACGAAATACTAAGTTACTGATAATAGGCTTATATTAGGTCATAGTTCAAGTATTTGTATTCCTTAACAAATGCCATCAAGAAATTGAATTTTATCGTAAAAATGAATTAACAGCCATATGCAAGTAACTGGAAATAGTAATGAAATCAAACTATTCTTTAAGTAATTACAGGATGCTTATTTTAAATCAAAGTTAATGGAGTATATATAATCCTGTCCATTTGGTTTTTTACGTTTAGTGAAAAGTTACCTACTTTGAGTCTAGTATAATACTAAAAGTAAATTGGAATAAACATTATTTTGCTTAATTGGTAAAAACTGATAGTATTAACAATAAATTCATAAAATAATATCGGAAAATATTTGGAAGTAAAAGCTCTATTAAATAGAAAATCAATGTTAATAATCTGGAACATTTCTGAATCCAAAATATAATGGTAACACTAATGAAGATAATAAGTTAAGCTCAGTTTAATTACATGTTAATGTGTTTTTTTATGTGAAGAGGTCAGTATTCATTCGATCGATGAGTGGATTTTCTGCCTTAACAAACAATAAAATCAGAAATTTTCTTAACAGCCAGTCTTAAGCTCATTATTAAATTCATTTTAGTTATCAAGATAAATCAGACGTTAAAAAGTTGGACTGGAGTTTTCTTATTACTTACTATGTGCTAAGGGATAAAGTTTCAGTGAGAACTAGTTTGATTAGTTTATAATCTGATAGTTTTAAAGAGATATTTCCAATAAATTTTTGTGTTTAAGCAAAATGGATTGACCAGCATGAATAACATTGTGATGCTAAAAACAGTCTAATATCATAATTTAAACAAAACAGTTTTAGCCATCAAACGAAGTCATTACTAAAATATCAAACAATGCTCCGTAAGTTAACCTACATATGCGTAAAAATAGGTCAGTCGCTGTAATTACTTATCTCATAATAAACTTAATGTTTAATCGTAATATAAGTGAATCGCAAAAGTGAAAGATCTGCTTGTTTATTACCCAATTATTTGTTTTACACTTTTCAGAACATCGATTCCAGTCTATTTGAAATTATATTGATCAAATTCAATTTAATTACTATTTCATAGTCTTTAACGTATTTAAAAAAAATTTTGCATGAATGATATCTATGTGCAAAATTATTATTTAAGATGAAAAAATATAATTTTCTCTCGTTAGATGTATAAATTTTTCCAATGCATTCCATTTCATTCTTGTACGTTATTGTATATAATATCTTTTAACAATCAATAACTTGCTCAAAACGTTTAATGCTTAAACCCTATTAGTATTGCAAGCAATTAATTTGCAGCCTATAAAATGAAGTCATGAAAAATTCATATAAATCTAATTGTTATTATCTAGTTCCATAATGCTATTTCATTTCATTTACTGTACATCTAACATTAACAGGAAAATATTCAATTTTTCCTACTTTAAAAAAAACAAAAAACTAGTGCTTGCACAAACTCATTAGACAGAGCAAAGCAATTATAACGTTTTTTTTTCTGAAACGCTGAACTATACATCATCTATATATAAACAGATGTCTTCTTTTTTCAGAAGTAGTTGTTTCTAGACATTAAAAAAATGAATTATCACATAGGAAATTATGAATTCATTGCATTTGTGTAGTTATTTTTTTCCTTTCAAATTTTTTTTTATTTATTTCTTTGAAATTAATTTCACTCAAAAATTAAACTTGTTTATGAGATGGAAATTAGTAAATAGTTAGTTAACTAATGAGTTAACTGATTCGGTTTTTCTATGCACAGTCAACTGTTAATGAGCACCAAAGCGTTAAATAAGTTTAATTGCGTAATTCTTGGTTATTCAAATTGATCTGTTTGGTTTGAAAGTCTTAGATATATTTTCTGATTGGTAGGTAAGTTTACGATTAAATGCTTACATAAAACTTTTCTGAGTGAAAAAAATTTGATATTCATGCTTGAATTTAATCGATTCCTCTTGGCGTATGGGTTATTCAAATGGATACACCTTGATATTTCGAGGGTCTAGAAAATTTAACCATAATTATCAAAGGGCTTTCATCAAATGCGTCTTTAAAATCAAACCCGACATTTTGTTTGAGTATCATTTTGAATGTCAGCGTTCAAATTCAGAGAAGTAATCTCTGGTGGAATGAAAAGCATTTTGAAGATGGAATTCTATTAGTTATGACAAAATATAATCAAATTTTTATATTCAATGGCAGCTTGCTGTTTTGATTTATTGTAAACCAATAATCTATCGAACAAAAAACGTGTTGTTAACTATTTAGATTTGAAAAAAAATTAAAAACTTCATATATCGCCTCTGTATCAGAATTAAGAATATCACTCCAGTGCGGGCAACCAATGTTGATAAGACTATTTTTGATTCTGTAAGTCAGTCAACTACTATAAGACAAGTTTATAAAATGTTTAAGTCTCGACTTCTCGAAAATATTGCTAGTTATGTAGTAAAATGTAAATATTTAAAGGACAAAGTAGGTCTCTCTATAGATGATATATCTGCTCAAAGGCACTCGTAATGAGTGACAGTGACCGTTGAACGTTCAAAACATTTTCAACTAAACATTCAAATAAAACAAATACATATTCGTTTCCCTTTACTTTCTTGAATAGTTACTTTCCAAATTATGTTGATAACACAAGGTAATTATCATGAAATAATTTTGAAATGAAGGAACGCTGCTTGACTAATACGTTAGCATGTACTAACTAACCTATAGTTCCGACCTCAAAACAGGCAATAATAATGTGTTCTTATTATAAGGATTTACGATACATTACATTTATACTAACGATTACTAAGTAAATAAAACAGTCTGTAATTAAGGTTTATTGAAAAAATAGATTTCTTTTTTGGTTATCACTTGTAATCAGTAGAATTAACAATATTTAAGCATAAACCTTTTTATTTATGTTATTATCAATCTGCGTATATTTAAATGTCAAAAAGTTAGATGCATGGATCGCTAATTTTCTAAAAAGATTTGAGGATATGTTATAAAATGAAAAAATGAACTATTATAAGTGTGAATTAGAAATTTAATTTTTCTAGTATGTTTCGAACATGTAATACATTGAACCAGAAAAATTAAAATAGAGTTAGCATCGTGGCAAGTGAACAATAATAGTAGACTAATTACTTTTAACGGCCATCGAAATAAAAATGTTTTCAATTGATTTATACCTTTTTGTTAACTGGAAAAACTGATACTACTGTAATTTTTTAATACAGAATTTGAATATTTAATACTGTTGATCAAACTCAGTAATATATCTTGTTAAGAATTAGTTTTATTCTTAACAATGCTCTGAAAAAACACATTCTTCAATGTTTGCCATAGTAAAAGCACATAAAAGATAAATGGATATTTCTGATAGTACAACCACATCTAATCTATGAACTGCACTTAGTTTATCTCCAAATTAAATCAGAATTAATACTTAAGTAAGCCAGGGTCAAATCATATTTAAAGATAGTTTAAAAGTGTTGTTGATGAAAAATAAGATATAATTAAATGAATTAAATCACTTGACGATAAAGATAGTTGACGCTACTAGTTTTCAATGAACTTCTAGTTAACTAAACAATCGATAGAACATCGTTTATATTAAATGAACATAGATACCATTTAGAGATAATGAAAAACTGAACGAACAGTTTAGAATCTATATGAATTTGGGTGAGAAATTCAGATTATATTAGATAATACTGAAGGGCATTAATAATGACTGAATTAATGAATACAAAGGTTTTTAAGCTGTGAGAAACTTTAGTTATATAACTTTAATTGGAACAACGGTCTAAAGGAGGTTACGATTAAAATAGTTTTGAGAACGATTAGTGAAGTGATTGCAACGAGCAGTCAGGCTAATAGAAAATCTTAACTATTTCGGAGATTTATCTTTCATTCTTAATTAAACTCACTTTTCAATAGTAACACGTAAAGCTGCGAAAAAACATTTAACCTAGTTATGACTAAGGTAGACAGATTGAATTCAGCTGAAAAACTGAAAGATTTTTCACTGAAAGTAAGGACTTTATGTAATTATGAAAATATTTTAGGTAAATAGAATACAATAGTGAGAAAAGTAGACATTCTGACACAATGTATCAGTCTCCTAGAAAAGTAATTTTGACAATGTGAATATTGAATTTTGTCAGTAACCTACTATATACCTCTATTTTCATCAAAACGAAATTTTCCTTTATGTGATTTATAAAATAGCTAACGGTTATACGCCATGCACTTTACCTGAATTGTCTAAAAATTTATGCTTCTGACTTATCATAATAGTTTGACTTAAAAACTCGACGTTTTAATAATAGTGTCCACTGGAATAATGAACAATATCCTAAATGTCAATATTCGACAACAAAATCAAATCAGTTTTGTTTCGAGGTTTATTCACTTAAGATATTATACACACCCAGAATATCATGCCTGAAATCACATTTGACATTTTTACTTCACTTGTCTTAAATTTGATTTCGTAAGTTGTGCTTATGCATCCAAAAAGCTAAAAATGCAGTTAGCTATTGTCTGATAAACCAACGTCCGTAACCAAGTAAGGTTTCATAATTGAGCTTACATGCTATATTATAGGTATAGCGAAAGGCATCGTAACTTTAGCGAGTCATGTGGTTCTGGGTCACAAGAAGCATCCTCACGATGAGTCGATCACTGTTAGTACTCTGGATAAGATTCAAGAAAGTGAAAACAGGAAGGCAGCAACCACTTTCAGGAGAACAAAGGCAGAGAAAGAGTATGTGTAAGCTGAATACATAGAAGCAGACAAGCAAGTCAAGCGGAGCATCAGAGTCGACAAACGTAAATGTGTGTAAGTACTGATAATAACAGCAGAAAAATCTGCGAGAGAAGGAAATATGAGACAGCTGTACGGCCCAGTGTAAAAGCATGCTGAAAAACATAGAAGACCAGAATGATCAGTCAAGAACAAGGAAGGCAAAGCAATCACCAACATTAGAGAACCGCAAAACAGGTGAGTAGAGCACTTTGAAAAACTAATGAAATGAATACTCCTAGTGAACATACCCAACAACGAAGAAGAAAGAAAGAACAAGTACCAACACACTAGAAAGAAGGGCGCCTGAATGAAAATACAAAAGCAAGGTGATCTCAGCAAGTGTGAGGACTACAGACAAATAATTGTACTATCACTGACAAGAAAATTCATCCATGAACGATTCAGTAGATACCCGAATTCTGAATCAGCAGGCTGGATTCCATGAGGATCGATCGTGTGACAATGCAATTTAATGGGACTTGTCTCTATACATCAGCTTCCTTGACTAAGAGAAAGAATTCGACAGCGAGGAAAGGCTAACACTTTGAAGGCTTATTGGACACTATGGCGTGCCTGAGAAGATAATCAACATCATACAGAATTTTTATAATGGACTGAACAGCCTAATGGTGCATGCAGCACAAATCCTAAATTTATCTCAAGTAGATACCAACGTCGTACAAAACTGCTTACTCTCAGCCTCTCCCTTTCTTCTGAAGGTTGACTGGATCATGAAACCTCAACATCTCAGGTGAAGACCGGAATACAGTAGACAGCTCGGATGCAGCTAGCACGGATTAGCAAACCAAGGGCAGTATTTCTGCAACTTAATGACATCTGAAACCTGAAACAACTGTCAACCAACACCAAAGTCAGAATTTTTAATACGAACGTCAAAATCGTTCTTTTGAATGGAGTGGAAACTTGGAGAACTACAAAAGCTACTTTCCAGAGGATAATGGCGCTTATTAACAGTTTTCCTAGCAAGATACTGCAAATCCGTTGGCCAAACACCATGAGCACCTGCATACTGTGGGAGAGAACAAGGCAGATTTCAGCTGACAAAGAAACTGAGTAAAAGCACTGGAGGTGGATAGGATACATTGTGGAAATCACCCAAATGCACCATGAAGTAAATTTAATCTGGAATATTCAATGCAAAAGGAATACAGGAAGATCAAAGAACATAATGTGCTGAAAATCAGAGAGAAACTTGAAAAGAATGAACGGAAATTGAGTAGGAGTGAAAGGGAAGATCCAGGATAGAATTTTTTGGAGAATGCTGGTCGGCGGCCTATGCTTCATTAGGAGTAACAGACGTAGGCAAGTAAGTAGGTAAGAAATCGTAGAGTTTTTTGAAGGGTTTTTAAAAAATGAGTAAAATACATGGATAATTGACACTGATAATCACTGATCGAGACCTGAATTAAACATGTTTCTGCCCTCAGAAATAGAGAAAGAGACATTAGTGAGTAAATGGCTGTTAGTTACTGTGGTATGTTTCTCACCTCTACTAAATGAAGGTTTGAATGAGTGCACTAATGCTAGCAGTTTTCAAATGTAAAAGTAATTTGCTAATGTCTTAAAATGAGCAGTTTTCCAGCAGAAAAACACAAATTTCAAAGACACCTAAATTAACTTGAATCTACAGAAAGTTAAATTTCAACTAAATCAGTGTAAACTTGTTGAATAGAACTTGTTTTATTGCTATAATGTTTAGACCATTGATGAAATGTTATTTTGTATTTAAAGCTACGCAATATTCAAAATGTGTAAAACAGTCTGACATACAAAATAATAAATATCGTGTGTCGGTCGATGAGTTAAAGTTTTCGAATATAATAAAAAATAAATTCACAAGATGCCTCTATATTTGAAGGGCTTAAGATATAACACTTGTGACCTAAGAACACTGCAGTAGTAGTATATCTATTCTTATTAAACACGTTCCGTGTGAATAAATCCTTTTCTTTGTGCAGTGACTGGCTCGAAACATAATTAGGTTACGTCAATCTAACTTTAACATTATGTTATTTGTGTAAAATTGCTAATTAAAGTTCTTGAGTTCAACTGGTTGATGAGTTGAGGTGAATTCTTGATTTTTATACTTCCAAAGAATGTTGGTTCAGCATGAATTGTCCGAAAAGTAGGACATTTATACTATGAAACTGTTTTCTAGTAATTAATTAATATGTTTGAAAGTAATTAGTTCCACTGAAAACTTTTTATAAATCGAATTAACAGCAGATATTTTTATATGCTATGACCTTTTTAGTCATTAACACTCAAACTTTAATTTAATATTAGGGAAAATATGCCGTTACGAAAATAAAGGACTAACAGCAATAATTCTGTTTCACTCGTTCATTAATGTGTAAATGAAAATTACTAAATAATTTAGTAAAGTTTCATTTACAGAACAAATTTACACATATTTATTAATTTGTTACAGTGTTAGTGGATCGTTTTTACTCTATGCAATAAAATTAATCCCGAATAAATTCAGATGGTAACCATTAGGAATTAATTAGGTGACATTTTATTAATGACGATATGCATTATAGAAAAATTTCACTCTGACTATTTCTATTTTAAGTAATATTCTTATTTTTCTGTCGAAATTTTCCAAAATTTGAATAGTAAGATTAATTATCCTCAAAGTTATTTTTCAAGTTAAGTTACGCAAGGTACATCTAGCATCACATTATCCAATACACCAGAATAAAGACCGATCGAATGAGGATTTTAGTCTGAGAGCATTTTACGATGATCAAATAATTATAGTTATCTGTAACTTGATCAGTATGTTTATTTATGCCATAGAAAATGTCAATAAATTATCATCAGGATAAAAGTTTTCATAAAAGAAACCGAAACAAAAGGATTATAATTATAGATTTTATAATGGCTGAATCTGAATCATTAGAGAGAAAAAAATACTTACTTGACAATCGAAACAATCAGTTTGTTCGATTAAATTATCCAAATAAACTACGAGTTCCATATTTAATGCTGTATTTGTCCTATTTGGATTGATTGTATATGTGTAACAGTTATGAAATACACGATCTTGTGTTTTAGTCCAATAACCTGATTTTTCACAAGCTGTTCCTCTTGTTACACTACCTGTTTTGTATAAAATAAAACAACGTTTCACTATATCTTCTAATGTATGACCTAAATTATGCTCATCAACTAAATCTGGCAGATTAGCTAAATAGGTAGAAAAATCCCATAGCATAGTTAAATAACGACGATATTCTACTGGTACATTGACTATAAAACGTTTTAACATTTCAAAATACATATCTACAGGTAACACTCCAGCTTTTTTTAATTTTCTTATATCACGTGTAGAAAATGGACGTAGATTACACAATGTCACCGATGGGAATGGACGTGGTTGATCATAAAGTTTTTTCGGTTGATGAATTACATCAAACTCTAAATACTGTGTAATGATAAATGTTAAACAAATGATACAACCTATAAAAAATGAAATTACAAAGATAAGCCATAAAAATCGGCGCTTTGAATCTTTAGTATTCACAATTCTTGGAACACCACGTAATGAAGTTGTTTCACAAAATTGTCTGAATTGACGTTTAATTTGTGTTAATAATGGTGGATTATATTCATTTGGCAAAGAGGACAATGATGTTGAAGAAAGTTCATTTGAAGTTTTGTTCATTTCATTACTGGAATATTGATCAAAATGTTTAATTTTCACTCGGTTATGATAATCTAATTTTGGCGCTTTAACATTTTTATGATTTTTTTTTACAGACTGATTTTGAGTAAAGAAAGATAAATTTGATTCTTGTAAACTTGACTGTGTAAGATCTGTCAGACCAGTTGCATCTTTTACCACTTCCGCTTGCCTTTCATCTTGGCATTGTGATTCGGACTTTTTAATTTCATCATATTTGTCAAAACAGGATTCCATTTGTGTAGAAATAGACTTTTGTATATCCATTAAATGATAATTAAGTGTCTTTGTGTAAACAAATTCATTATAATCCAAGAAACTGTTTCGGTGTATTAGTGAACTTGTTTATAATATCCTTATCTGTATGTACACAAGTTGATAATTTTATGTAGCATTCCTTTTTTAAGCACACATACTTCTGAAAAAGTGTAGAAAGAAATCACAAAAATATTAGCATCCTATATAATGGTATAAAGTTGAAAATATACAAGCAAAATAAAAAATGAATTATATTACTATAAATAAAGAAGCAGCCATTGAATCGAATTGAAATAAATTAGAAAGTCTAGTGTTATTCAAATAATTGTATATTTATTACTCATTTGTTAGATTGAAATATCTATGAGACTAGCTGAAGTAGTTTATCTGCGCTCATCTAACGTACAAAAACTTGAAAGTACATAGTCCAATAGTTGCTTATCATTTCGAAACTGAGAACCAGTTTCTTTGATGAAGAATATATATTATGCATATATTTTGAATTGCATGTTTGACTGATTTTGACCAATGTTACAAATTTATCATATTCTAACTCACCAAACTCGTTAGTATCAAGTATTCTACAAAAAACTACTCATTTTGAAACAATGGGCTTTACCAATAAGACAATTTCTTCGGTTAGATATGTTACAATCGATTACAATAATCGCACAAAGCAAAATACGAATTTTTAAGGATGATACATACAAGAATTTATTGATTATATTTGGTCATTAGTTTTATTTCTGTATTCTAAATGAGGTAATATCAATACTAACCATTAGTGCTAACTTATAACTGTACATAAAACTGATCATTATGAATCAAATCAAGCATATTATTTGATTACCCTAATTATTAAGTGATATATACAAATAGTTTTATTATTCCAACTTAAAGTATTTATTTATTTATTCAAAAAAGGTAATTTTATAAACGTGAAATTATTAAGAGCAGCAAACAAAGAACTACAATGTATGATTTTTACAGATGATATAAGTATTTCCTTCTAACTCTTGTCAATGAATACTTTTCAGGTCAAATCACAGCATCTAGCGAACTTAAAATAAATTTTGTGTATATCAACAAAAAGACGATTGATTATGTACTTTAGATGAAAATAAATAATTTTTACTTAAAAAATACGAAAATAATTTCTAATTCAAAACCTTAGTTTATTTCAACCATTGAGTTGTTACTTTATGATCATATATTGTGACCTAGTGACAAGAATCTTGGATAAGAAAACTATACAAATTAGTATGATATATATATCCATGTAGATTCTTTAGGAACACGAAGAAAATGAGATGAAATGAAGATCAATTCATGTTCCACAAACATATACCAATCATTTAAATGTGTACTAATTCACACACTGATCAAAGTACAACTGAATACGTAGTCATCAACTGTTCATGTTTCCATAAGTTTGTTATTGGGATTTCAATGATTTCAGTTATAATTTTTTATAAAACATAAACTTATTATTGTATTCATTGTATTATGTGAAATCCGAAAGTTATTTGTACACTTTACAACTAATTTGACCTTTCACTGTTTAGTTTTGTCCGTATTTTCAACTAAGTAACTATTTTCCTTTCAGTCTAATTAATTTTCGTAGCTACACTAGATTTTTAAACAGGAAAATGTTTGTATTTAGTGATCTTAATAGTAAAAACACTAAACATTAGTAGATGTGTTTACACTACAATATATTCAAAATGAATAATATTTGATGGATCGAGTAAGTGATATGATATTTAGGTGGAAGATGATTAAATAATGATAAGTTTTGATTTTTTTTCTGTATTTACCAATATACTTACTTATACTAGAAGAATTATCTGGATCTCTGAATATAAGATTAAATGGGCACAAACAATATCTAAAACTCGTTTCTAGATCGGCAGAGTACCACAAGTGACTTGGTAAAAGGTCAAAGACTTTAATTAGGCTCGTCAGAAGCAAGCGAAAGGATTGACTGCAATGATATACAAAAATGCCTAAGAAAGTGTGACAAACTGAGCTTCATATACATCGGACAATGCAAAACATCTAAGTAAAATAGAATAATAAAAGTTAGAGACTTTATGACGACTACAGAATGATAAAAACCACAGTTACATCCATACTGGCAGTTACATGACATCAGTGACAACAGACTTTAAACTATTTGGTCAGTCTTATTGCTAGGATTTGACTTCATCATCAAATACAATGAAAAATCTAGTTTACACATAAATTTGTTTCATAAGGTAAGGGAGAAAACGACTAATTAAACCGCAGCCTTAATCAAAAGCTGTATCTCTGCACTGAGCTTTAACAACAGTTATATATATAGGCATTTACTTCTCACATATTACAAGCATTTCGTTTCATGGTAAATCATATTCCTGCTGAACACTAAGTTAAACCTTACTTATCTTTGATAATCTAAACTTCATTAGAACTAATCTTTAGAGTAAAACATTGGAAATATATGAATTTCAATAATCAGAATTACTTCAAATAGAATTTTAAACGCCCACTATCATTAATGTATTCAGCTTTCGATTTCCCACAAACTGTTTGCTGAAATTTCTTCAAGGAATATTGATTTGGGCAGAATAAAGAGTTCCTAACCGTGTACTGATGAGCCTAGTTTACTTTCATCAAGTGTTTTAAGAGTTTCGTAGACCAACATAACAGTTTCATCGAAGCAAATATAAGTTAAAAAACAAGAGGACAGAAATACCAGATTATTATTAGTTTGCAGTGATTCTATCATTTACGTTTAGTTAGTTTTAAAAAATATTATTTGATCAATTCATCATCAACTAAAAATGATTTTAATCAGTTAATGCTTGTCAATGGTAGAAAGTTTCCGGTGATAATTATTTGCGTTAGATGGTCAAATTATTTATTATCCATTTATCATTATACCTGATCAGCTCAACAAATCAGATAAGGACTTCGGGTTTCTGTACAGTGGACTGTCAGAAACTACAAAACTTCATTTATTTCACAAACAACACATCTTGTAAATGTAGACATTCAACTTAATATTTTTTGTAAATTCATAAATCAAATGTATTCCGTGGCTCTTACTTGGTATAGATAATTTTTTCTTCTAATGGCTGCACTCAAAACTTCAAATGTAGATTTATCAATAAACCTCTGTTATCCACAGTATTTTTAGTTAACATTTAGATATTGGTCGCGTAGATAAGTCTTTAATAATAAGTAAATGTTAATTTACAGCATGTATGGATTCCATTGATGGTTGTTTCGAAAATTTGATTATAATTACCATTTCGGCGCCTAATTGTTTAACTTATTCATTCGGATTCGTTTGATAAAATATCAAGTAATTGGTTTCTGTTATAATAATTTTCTCTACTTAGATTATAAATTATCCGAACTGATCTATTTAATTTATAGTTTAAAAAGTATTGAATACTAAAAGAAATACTTTTTCAAGTAATAACTTATAGAGAAACACACATCGATTCATTCAAAACTAACTTACAATCATTGGATTAAAAAAACCTAATACAGTAAATCCATATTTTCAGTGATTGTTATTAAAACCGTCCACAGGGAGAGTAATATTTACATAGAAAATAAAATTATTGAAATGTAAATTATGTCGTTTTAAAAACCTACATTAGGGAATGACCCAGTGAGCTGATCAAGTTTATTCATAAAAACAATAATAAATATCTCAATGCGATCCAGTAGCTAATATATCATATAATTCTATAATAACGGCATGAAAATAGAGGCATCAAAGGATACTCAGTAGTAAGCACAATCGTGAAAAGTATAGGAAAGATTACATAGTCGTATTTTATAAAATCGGAAAGTACTTTATAAAACAACAGGTTACAAAGAGACAGTGTTTGTATTAAAAGGAAAAAATCCGCCTTTACTCATTAAACAAACATTATTATATTTAAAAAGTGTAAACTTAGCAGTTCTCCCTTTTTGAATTCAGATAAATATTATTCAAATGAAAACTTGTGAATTTAAAAACAGTTTAAAGCTTTTAAAACGAAAAAAAACACTATGTAGACAGAAACATTCTATTTTTAATCAGACATTGTTAAATTGGTATATTGTAATTCAAATATTTAGAAAGAGGTTAGTACATATCCAGGATAAATTTTGAATGAAAAGTTTAATCATCATCAACAACATACTGTAAGTTATTATGAAATGCGTCAGTTGTTCATTTGAATGTAAAGTGATCTATGTTTACCCAAGTTGTACATAACATAAAAAACATTCGATGTTTTATATTGGCATTTTATTCAGTTATCCAAATTCATTTTGAACAAAAACTTTGGGAAAACTTATAATTGTTTAGTAGAACAGCGTTGCTCGAATGATTAGATCACATCCTGCTGCATTTATCAATATGCATGCTGTGAGGACACACATACATACGGAGGAGTAATCGAACTTTGTAATCAAGGCTTATGGAACATGTAACTAAGTGGCTTCAAAATCAGTTAACGTCAGATTAGCTGATTAGCGTGGGAAATAGAAAACCATGTTCATCGATCGCAAAATACATAACTGAGATTGACATCAAGACAGCCCTTCTAAACATTGTATAGAAATGTTGAAGGACGAATTTTGAGGTTTATGGAGGCCTTGGCTATTCGAAAATTAAAACTCCCCTTATGTGTACAGAAACAATTTGTTATAACCTTGAATTTATCCTGGTAATCTTTAAGCCTAGGTTGATGTGACAATTTTCCTACCCTTTCCTATTCTTTTCATATTACGTTAATTTTCTCTCCTTTATTTACAATTATCTGTTTATGTCTGATTGAACTTTTATTTAACTGACCTATTATTAGTGTTCATATAAAATGCCTTGACAAGTAAATATGTGTGACCAGATTGTTCTAAACGTATAGCGCAGATACATCACATTTTTCAGATTAATTACGTCTTCTCACTGTTCTGTCAAAGTTTATAAAACGGACTGATTGTTTTAAATTGTATGGTAATTTCCATTAGCTAAATGACTTATTGTCGAATAACTACTCAATAGCCTGATTTGATATTTTTTAAAATATATAAACGTGAATACAATTATCTTGGGTTGATTATTGTATTAAATAAGAAAAGAATTTTCGATAATTCATTGTTCCATTACAATTATTGTACGCAGTTATGAGAATTATTTACCAAAAACTAGTAGTCTCTATGGTGTAAACAACGTTAATTTGCACTTCCAATAGCTTAGTACTAACATTTTTGATTGAGGTAACAGTGAAGATGTACATGGACAGAAAGGTGCATAAAAATTAAATTCACCCCTCTCTTGTTGGTTACCTTCAATAACTTATCATAAGACAGAAAGAAGTTTAATTTCAAGATTACCAAATTACATATATAGTGGTTACCCATATTTTTATTCAAGTGATTAGAATAGTTTACATTTACATTCTATTAATCAATCTTATATTTTCGCTTATCTGGTATTTTGGTTGTTCTATGGAGAAAAATTAATAAATATTACATCACTCAACTAAAATCATATCAGTATAAAATTTTTCTTAGCGATAAACATTTTGGGAAAATTATATTTGAACATAGTGTCCGTTTTCTTACTCATTTTTAGCATGCAATCATACCTCGGTGTTATTTTTTAAAAAGATCAATTAAAATGCTTATAAATATTATTATTATTATTATTATTATTATTATTATTATTATTATTTTGATAACTAATCTCTGACGATACTTGCAATTCTCCGATACTTCTATGTAATAAGAAATCTGAAATAATTAAATTATCGGTTCGTGATGAATCGCTTTTTCTGGATAATTCATTATTAAAACAAAACATTTTTATATGGTTCAACGCAGCTTCAAAATAGCCTACACAAAAACATGTATTCGAAAGTAATGTGATCATTTCTCAAATCAACGTAAGATTAGTTTCTATTCTCTGCAAATGAATTTACAGTAACACATGTAATTGCTAATAGGATAATAGTGTTCATGACTTTATACACATAACAGACTATCGATGTTTTTTCAATGAAACAGTTAATAAATGTGAATTATGAATCTATGCATAGAAAACTATTGGTTATTTTGAAAACGTGGAATTCAGCTAACTTAAAGTTGAAATCAAATTTCTCAGCAGAGATTAAAAGCATCAAAGGTAATCTCCGTCCTATTAAACAAAAATAACTAATTAGAATCAGACTAAACTATCATAGAACAAAATTAAAAATATCCAAATACATTGAAATATATATTCAACATGTTATTAGATGATACTAGTTTAACTTACTAATGTACTCAACTAAAGATAGCACAATATTCAATGGTCATATATAAATTAACACATTTCTAAGCTTGATCAATGTTGATTTAGTCATCACAATATTCATTGTAAAACGATAATTACAATACTGGAAATTAAATGACATAATTATCTTTCATCAGCTTTTCCTAGTGATATTTTAAACAAATTACATAATTTTCAATAACAACAAGGTCTAAGTAACAAAAACATAAAAAAAGAGTTTTTTTAATACTATTTTTTCTAATTTTAAGTAAATCCAATTGTTTGAGTGTAATAATTTAATCAACAGAAAAGATGTTTATTGTCTTGTGAACAAATTATCTTTTAGTTATACTTGAAAACTCAGACAGTCGTTGTTTCCACTTCTAATAAAAAAATTTATGATAAAACTAATGAGACAGTATTTTTTTTTCATCTTTTCACAAATATATATATATATATATATATATATATATATATATATATATACCATTAATAGATATTGCTTGCTGATAAATTTTTCTCTCATCAGCTCAAACTACTGACCAAAATGAAAACTAAAACAAAATTTAACTAAAAACACTGTTTTTAATCAGTGGTTTTTATGTAGATTTGTAAATTTGAACTAAGAGAAATGTTAATGACTTCAAAATATTGGTTTAGTAATTAGAATGATTTGATAGCGTCTTAAATTTAGAAAATTGTTATATCCAAAAAAGTTCGGTTAAAGTGGTTTTCTAATATGAGCCTAATGAAGTATTTTTCTATTAAATCCATCGATAGGAATGTAAATGTTAGTGTACAGTTAAGAAATAATTACATAGATATGTAATTGTGTGCAGCTGCCTTACGTAAAAAGTTCATATCTCATCTTCAAACTTCTTAATTACCTCAGACACTAAAAAAATCATTTCAAAATCTGTGCCTATTAAAATTAGTGCTAGTTAATACCATTACCTTTGAACATAATTTAATTTTGAAATGGAGTATGGAAAAGTATCAATTAATTGAAATAAATAATCTTTTTGATATCGAAAAATAGTATTTGTTCAATTTTCACTTGACCAATCGCAACATAAAGCATTTCTGCTGTCATTTTTGTCTAATTACATTAAATAATTTTTTATCATTATAATTATAATTAATTTTAAAATCGACATTTTATTCAAATATCATTTAATGGCTCTCGTTTTGACCAATGACAGAATTAATGACGTCATTATTTTTGATAAAGTCGACAGACTGTCAAAATGTAAACTATTTTTCCGATTTATTTAAATTTTGGATTAATGATAGAAAAGCTTGTCATAATGAAAAAAATTTTGCCTGGTTTTGTTTACTTCACTGTTTACATTGAGAAATGATTTTCGTTAAGTAAAATAAATAGACTAAATGGTCAAGTACTTGAAGAGACATTAATCTACTGTATCAGACAAATATTTCTTTCATAAATAAAAAATATTTTTCTAGTTTTATAATTCTGTGACGGGCTTTCTGAAATAATTGCAGTGGTCACTGTAATTTGTCAATGTCATGTAGGATCTCACCATTCATTCATTGCACTTCAGTGATTTGTCGTTGACATTATTTGATAAATGTATCAACCATATAGTATCGATTACTGTATATTCGATTGTGTGTGGATGCTCACTCGATTATCACATGTCTAGCTTATTATTGCCTGACTATAAATACCTAATCACTGCTTCAACCCTGGAGTCTTGACTGACTAGCTCCACCAATTCACTTCGCTCTGGGGTCCAGTCGTGAGCCGCTAAAGTCATATTTCATAAACATTAAATACTTTAGTTGGCTTAATCCATGAACATAATACTTTATGACTCCCATTGTGAGTTAAAAATCATCGATAACAATTAGTGAAGATTGTCTGTGTTCCTGCAATTGTACTAGACTACGTGTAATGGTATCTGTGAATACTGCTAATTTTTCTCACTTTAAGAAAACATGGATCTGCAGTGTTCGATGCGTCATCAGTAAATTTGTTCGATTGTTGAAATACGAAATTTGTATTCGTAATTAAGAAATTCTGATCATTTAAATGGAATAAAAATTTGAATAAAGGGAGCGTTTTCTTTTAGACAAAAGTTGCTTTTCGGTAAGGAACGGTTCATCAATTAATTAGATACAATGAACATTAAACTGTTAGGTAATTCTGAATTATTTATAAAAAAAATGTACTGGGTAAAGATATTGGAGGCATAGTAGATATGTAAGAAAACTTTGATTGTAAACAAGCGCATGAAAGTACTTACACGTTTTAATAAATTGAATAATCTAAAATTATCGACTACTGAAATGATAGATAGATTTTGTAGCGCTAGTGCTTATCTTACCTTTTACAGAAAACACCTGATCAAACTACTTAAAATATCGTAGTATTGCGGTTCACTCATTCTGCTAGGAAAAATATGGTTCCCTTAGCAAATTGACGATAAAGCCATCGACAGTTGAACAGGCAAAGGGCTGGTAATAAAGTGAAACTATCTTATATTTTGAAAACCTGCTCATAAATATATTTCCTCTGAAATCACGAACCGATGATTGTTCGGCTCGCATTAAAATCCTGGAAGTAATTAACGACCGTTTCGTCCTACTGCGGGACTCATCGTAAGATCTTATCCACCACCCTCACCGTCAAGACTCGAACCAAGGAACTTCGGTCTCGCGCAAACGTTTAGCCACTAGACCACTGAGCTGACATCTCGCGGCGTCAGTGCCTAACGTTTTCAATTCCTGATATTCCAACACTTCACCAACTGTATTCGGCGGTTACTGCTTATACCTTGACTTGAATAAAATCACGGCCTCTCACGAAGGTAATCACTAGTGGTCTGACGATTAAAAATGAAAAGCTTCATTATTGATTACAGTTAAAACCTTCACAAATGATTGAGTAGACTTGGTTGGTTATAAATTACTGAATACAGAATAATGACGACAAATTTGGTTTCACATATGCACGCTAACAATTTTTATCGTTAAAGTCAGACACATCATTATTTATATCTCAAATAAATTAACATCTATCTTGTTTCAAAAGACAGTTTCTTACCATCCAGTAGCTCAGTTCAAAATGTTTTTAGCAGAACAGTGTAAATTCATAAAATTCAAGTTTTTTCTTACTAAAATTTACACTTCCTAACCTAATTTCTAAAACAGTAAGTTCGACTATCATATGAAGTGATGAAATCAGATGAATTTTGTAGAAACTTACTGTATTAGCTGTTTATTTCCCATTAGTAAAACATCATTTAGACAGAATTCTTTTTCAATGAAGCAATTGTGTTGATTTAACTAATTAACTGGGCCATGTTAGTAGGTGATATAGATATTTTAATAATTTTTGAATTTCTGTTTGAAAAAATTCATTCGAGTTTCATAATGAGCTATCGAAATATTGATATTTATGACAAAATACTTCTGTCGGATTTTGCTGTTGACATTATCTTTCTTAAATCTATTTACTTGAAAATAGAAGTGAATCATTCGCTATACACACAAAAAATGCAATTTTATTTACACAACATTTTGAAGGATCGGAACAAGAATGCTAGAATGATGAACAGCTTTTTTTGTTTAAAGTAATTTGTGATGAAAACTGGATTTTCAAGATGGGATTAATTTTTTCAACTTTACCCACTTAGAGTGAAGATAACGAAATTAAGAAATAATGCTACTCAAGGATACTTTGATAACTTCACTGAAAATCTGCTGGAAGCTTTATGTCAAAAGTGAGAAAGAAGGTATTCATGAATGCACAATTGTCTTACAAACTTAAAGTACCAACACACATCTTGTTCAATATTATTTTCAAAGTAGGTGAAAATCTGTCAGAAAGCAGTGTATCTACAACCTTCTGAATTGTGGAAGCTTAGTGTATTCACAAAAGTTATTGTATTTCTATACAAGTAGCTGTTGCACCAATTACTGATCAATCACGACAGAATATTTCCATGTCTTATGTATTACAAGTTTCCATGCACTTTACATTCATTCAACTTAACAGCTGCTGAGTATAAAATGACGTACTCGGAATATAAATTTGTCTTGTAAATTGTGCAACATGTCAGTTATCTTATCATTCATAATTACAATGGGGATTTCAAAGTTTATTTTTGATATTTAAAAGCATAATTTTTAATAGACAGCTTATTTACTGAGTCATACGAATTAAGTTAAGTTTGACGAATCTGATTAGAGACGACAGTGACGAATTATACGGAAATATTAATAAAGTGTGAATTTCCAATTTTTTTGTTTGTTAAGTTAAAACCTGTACAATGGATTTTGAACGATTAATTTTATTTGACTATGATGATTAAAAATAAATGCTAAAAAATGAAACAGAATTATATCAATCAGGAAAACTGATACAATTGTAAATTTACTCGTTGGCGAATACATTCACCTATTTTCTAACCAATTTTATTTGCAAGACATAAAAGTGAATCTCCTCAATGGAATCTAATAACTTTGTGGAGATCATTTGTAGATGATTATTTAGTTGTCTTCACTGCTAACTTTTTACAAACCGCTAACTATTTTCATGGTCTTACAAGCACTAAGTTCATACTTAGTTATTTACATGTTCACATCTCTGA